TTTTATGAAGACTAAATGAAGAAAATCAGTCTTGTATTTGTACCCATCCTAGGCCATGCTAAAGATGGACTCTCAAAAATTTGAAGCGTAACACAAAGACTTAAAAAATAATGTTAATTTTTTTAAAGACTCTAGAAATAAGACTGGTGGGACAAAGAATCTTCTCCCACCTGTGACATCGATCTTGAAGGTGAGTTTTTGGCCAGCAGCCTCACAGGTGTACTCCCCAGCATCTTTCTTCTCCACCTGACCCACCACCAGACGACGAGATTTGCCCTCAGACTCCACCTTGAACTTCTTGCTGGAGGTGATGAGTTTGCCATCCTTGTACCACTTCACCTCCGTTTTCTCCTGGGCCACCTCGCAGCTCAGCGTGGCATTTTCTGTCAGTGCAGCTTTCACCTCTTTCTTCACTTTGTCCTTTTTGATGAAAGCATCTTCTGCCTCTGAAATTGACGGTAAAAGGATTGATATTGAAAATTCACAGATGCCTTTCCAAATGCAGACATCACCTTTTCAATTGTGGTGCTGAACTGAATTTCCCATTCACAATCCCTGCCATCACCACCTACAGAATTTTTACCATTTGAATTACACCAACTGCCAGTGAAGGAGTCATTCTCTGGTAGTCCAGGACACAGCCCCAAAATTGCTTTCATTTCCACCACTACCTTTCCTCAAAATCTGCAGCAAGCAGCACACATCCCAAAATCCAGCAGTACTAAGGTGGATGAGATCTGTCAGAATTAGGTTTGCTGTAAGAGGACAAGCATTAAATTGCCAACCAACCCAAGAGCTGCAGTTTACTTTCCCAACAAAAGCAAAGGGAGTGCTGGGAAACAAACTTTGTGAGCTTGTTCTCTGTCTGTAATTTTATTTCTCAACTGTTCTCAAGATTTGTCATCCCAGAACTATGTTTTTCTAATGAATGAAAATTAGCCAGCTTCTATGGTATTTGCACCACGCCATGATCAAAAATAAATCTAACGTATGAACTCTTCAGTTTGCTTTAAATTCATTGAGGTCCAGGGATAATGAGGGGTGTTAAGGTTGAAACCTGTCCTTGATATCATGATGAAAAGAGCTGGTTTCCTCATCTCCTTCTTCTAAGAACTGTTTAAGCATTTCCATCCACTTGAAAGAGGCCATAATATAAAGATTTCCTCTACAATAAAGTCTGTTTCAGAAAGGAGTTTTCACAAGAGAATGCCTGTGCTCAGATTTGCTGCACCCTTTAATTTCTCCAGCAATTACTGAATTCTCAGTTTGCTATCAGTACATCTTCCCAAGATTCCCAGGAAAATTCCCCAGTCATCTCCAGCCTGACCTGAGTTTGGGCTACAGAAATCCACTGCATGCTTAGTTTGTAAAAAAACAAATACGGATCTAACAGTGTGAACAAAATTTCATGAGTAAACCAGCACCACCTAAGTGCTGGCTCCATCACTGCCTGTCGAGATGGAGTTTGACAAGCCACGTAACTTTCCTCTCCTTCAACATTTTAGGATAAAAAACATGGATCTCAAGTATTCAGGATGTAAAGCAGGGATGCAGCACATTCTCTCACCTGTGACATCGATCCTGAAGGTGAGTTTTTGGCCAGCAGCCTCACAGGTGTACTCCCCAGCATCTTTCTTCTCCACCTGACCCACCACCAGACGACGAGATTTGCCCTCAGACTCCACCTTGAACTTCTTGCTGGAGGTGATGAGTTTGCCATCCTTGTACCACTTCACCTCAGTTTTCTCCTGGGCCACCTCGCAGCTCAGCGTGGCATTTTCTGACAGAGCAGCTTTCACCTCTTTCTGCACCTTCTCCTTTTTGAGGAAAGCATCTTCTGCCTCTGAAATAGGGAAACATAACAGGGGAAAATATGTAAGATATAAATATCTTTTGTCAAGAAGTTCTTATTTGCATGAGGTGCAGATGCTCTGCAGGATCCTGGACTTGGCAGTGCTGGCCCCATTGGACATGACGATCTAAAAGGTCTTTTCCAACATGAATAATTCAATATTAAACACTTGTAACTAACACAGCTTTGCAGTTCTATTTATCACATAAATAAAGGAATGTACCCTCAAAATAGAGTCCACGTAATTATCATCCTTCTCTGACTTGTCCTCATGAACAGCTCAATCACTCCATTTGCACATTTCTTACAATGGATTATAAAGATTAAATACTCTCTTGTGTCTTTATGATATTTCTACTCCCCGCATTTGGAATGAGCCAAATATAGCACAACGGTGAGTTGCCACTTCCACCATCACTTTATTTAGAGGATTTTAGCAGGTGTTTTAGATCAAAATTGGGTGTTTGATAAAATACCTTGTAACCCAATCCCAAAGAGAGGATAAAGACACAGTTCCCAATATGGAAAAATACTTGATGAGCATTACACACAAAATTAGCACATAAAATTTGAAGTATATTTTTATTTCCTAAAATATCTGATTTTCCAGCAAGCTGTCCACCTGAAAAGATGGTGCAGCCATGGGGAAGTCAGGCTCAGCTCCCAGGGAACAAGAGACAGGATAAGAGGAAACGGCCTCAAGCTGTGCCAGGGGAAGGTCAGGATGGACACCAGGAGTAATTTCTTCATGGAAAGGGTGGTCAGGCATTGGAAGGAGCTGCCCAGAGAGGTTTGGAGTCTCCACCCCTGGAGATATCCAAGGAACACCTGG